TGCAGGCCGTTCAATATTCCAGACATCAATGAATTAAACTGATTCTCCCGGATTACTTATCCTTCGCTACCTGCGAAGCACTGCAATTTCTTCAGACTCACTATCAACTCTGAAAGCCATTGAGAACAGATTCTTATCCAAACCCATTATCCAGAAAATTCAGGAGATTCTAGAATAGCAAGCTTTAAATGGCCCCATATAGAAATAATATGAATCCCCTCACACAATAAAATGATGAATTATATTAGCCTTGTTTAAGGACCATTATTCACAGATGAATACATGGAGTACGTGGATCGAATGTGCGAAGTCACATCGGGTACATGATGATCAGGGGGTGTCGAAGACCTGTTGCGGTAGTTTCCGCTTTAGTCTGTTGGGGTAAGGATTTTGTTTTCCGATTTTGAAATGAACGGCTGAGGGAATCTGGGGAATTTTAGGATAGAAGCGAGTGGATAGGAGGGACAAATGGACGGAGATCGAAGTGATGCCCAGTTCGTTATGTAACTGGAAGTTAGGTACAAGCCAGGGAGCTTTGGTAATGGTTCGGAAGAATTTATTTTAGAAAATCTGTATTTTTTATATTATCTCAACGTCTGCCTATTCTATTGAAGAGATCAGATCCAGAACCCTACCCTAAGTGTGGTGCATCAGTCTTCACCTCCCACTTCATTCTTGAATGCCCTGCTACTGATAGTATAAGAAAACTTGTAAAAATTGAAGGCACCCTACAATCATTACTGAGTTACATAGACCGGTGTGCCAAAATAATAAAACTTCTAGCAATCCAAAACTGTACAGCCTTATATAGTGAATGTATTAGAACTGTAGTTAGATTAAACCTTACATATTGTGAAAATGTGATTATGTTTAACATTTCCGATCTTGTCATAATTGTAACTATTATGTTTGTTTATACAAATGTGTAATGACAGGAGCCGCTGACGACCTTTACTTCATAAAGCGACCATCAATGAATTTTTTTTTATAAACGCCTAGCGTAAACCGTGATTAGCCCTGACGTGAGCGGCGGCGCGCGCAGTGCCGCAGCGACGCCCGTGCGGGCGCCTTCGAGTGTGCCCGAGGTGAAGGTGCTGACGTGTTCGGTCGCCATTTTGTGACCTTACCTCAGGGCTACATGCCGAGCGCAGGCGCATTCACGCCCTGAGGAAGAGGTACGCAAAAAAATTGCGCACCAAACGTCGGCACCTTCGCCAGGACGCGCGTCACCCGACAGCACCTCAGTTAAATACGCAAGAACTTGTGCGCGCAGAACACGGCTTATCCGGCGAGGGCCCACTCACCTGGCGCCGCGGTGCGTGGCGTGGTGCGGGCGGGCGGGCGCAGCTCGCATGCGCTCCCGCCCGGGGGCGCGCGCCGCGTCGTCGCCCCGGGCCGCGTTCCAGCAGCAAGGATGTAGCCCGCGACGCGCTGTCGCCGACAGCGCCGGGCCATCTCACTGCCCGGCGCGGCCGCTCCGCACCTTGCGCACGCCCACGGCCCACGCTC